GGGGGTTTTTTTTTTTTTTTTTTTTTTTTTTTTTTTGTATACTGAATCAATTATCTTTTTTTGTAGTTTTAAAAAATAAAAAAAAGAATCGGGAGAGTGGCTTAAAAGTTTGGAGTTATCAGATACACATGGATTTCAGGTTTTGTTTGCGTGTGATTTTATAAAATTGTACTCTTCATTATATCATGGTTTCAAAAAAGTTACTTCTGCTACTTTTAGCTTACTTTTTCAGTTAATGAAAGTTTCATGCTTTCAGTGTCGGTGAGTCACACAGATGAAGGTATGGTTCCACCTTATCTATAGGCCTTCACCTGGATCATAAAAATGTAACAGTACGAGTGAGGAAAGAAAACGTGACACAAAGCATATCATACTTTAGATAGTTGCTTAAGAGTATATGGGTTTAAAATGTTTCCTTTTGAATATTTTAAATATTAGTTACAGTAATGATTAGCCTGTGAGAAAATAAAAGGCTAAGCATAATCTTCTTACCTGATAATCAGCTGAAAGGCGAGGGTTCATGCCAGTTTTCTGTGGTTCATTACACGGGAGTGCCTCCAGACATGATAGAGGTGAACGCGTGCCAGAGACCACTAAGTTGTGTTTGGTGCATTTCCTGCCATCTCCTTCTGAAGTGATAATTTGGTTGATATAGGCAGATGTACATATATGAAAGAACAAAGGTGTACAAATTATCTGAAGATCAGATTGTGTAGTATGTAGTAGGTGATCAATAAGTACTTAATTGAATTGAACCAAAGTTTAATCCATTGCCTGGGACATTATCTTGTAAAAAGCAATATCTTGAGCTGTTCCATATGTATTTTCAAATTGTCACATTTAACCTGCTACTATTTCACCATGTGCAAAGTCATTGACACTAAAATTTTAAATTTTTGCTTGCTCTTTATTAAGAAGAAATTTCTTTGCCTTGATCTTAAATACTGAACAGTTTTCCTCAAACTACAAATTCTTATAAAGGCTCTTTATTTCAGAGAAAATGTTATCCAGTCACAGAGAGGCCAGATAGAAGAGTTAGAGCATTTGGCTGAGATTCTGAAAACTCAGTTGAGGAGAAAAGAAAATGAAATTGAGTTATCTCTTCTTCAGCTTCGAGAACAGCAAGCTACAGATCAAAGGTATCTTAAAACAGAAATATCACTTTGATAAGGTCAAAATTAGTTTAAGTACTTTTATCATGTGCCATATAAGGATAAGTTTATCAAGTCTTTTTACAAGTCACGTTTTTACTTAGCATTCTTTATATAAGCCTGCTCTAGACGTACTAACCGTTATCAACAACTCTCATCTAAGGATAGTTTCCCTAACGTACTCTGCTTTTAAGCAGCTTCTGATGGGTGGAAATCACTCTCATCTTGTATCCTCTGTTTGTTTGCCCCGTTTGCCAAGACTGCAGGGAGTTCTGATACCATTTGATAGTAGTTACCCAGAGAAATATGGGTGACAAGAACTCAGCTGTTGGCATACCTTGCCTCATTTAAGGTTTTTTTCAACCTTAAAAAGTAGAAAATTTTATAATATGGTACCAGTCTGTGATCCCAAAAATATGTTACCTCTCCTAATATTCAGAGTTTCCATTGCATTCTGTTGATTGTCACGGATTACAGTGGAACCTGTCAGTAGTATCCTTGCTGCCTTTCCATTTTTGACATTCTATAATGTACGATATTTTCTCATCCTCCCTTGTTATTTTTTGGTTCCTAATACCTGCTCACTTGTTTTGTGCTTTGACATTTTGTTTTCAATAAGACTTTATCGTTTTTTTAATTTATCTTCTTCCCTTTATGGCTTTTCTCTTTTCTTTTTGTTTGTTTGTTTTTCTCTTTTGGACCAAGCATATACTAAAGTAGAGAGAGTAGTATATTGAACCCGCATGTAGCCAACACTCATCCTTAACAATTATCAGCATCTTATCAATCTTGTTTCATCTATCCCCTCACCTTTATTTTCTTCAGTTAATTAGCCCTAGCCAGATATCATGTCATCTCACCCACTAATACTTTAGCATATAACTCTGATAAGGAATTTTTTTTAACATAACCACCATGCCATTATTACACCTAACAAAATTAACAGCAATTCCTTGATATCATCTAATAACCAGATTATATTCAGACTTCCCTGAAGATATCTTTCCACTGTTTATTTGAATTAGAATCCAAATAAAGTCTACACGTTGCTTGTTATATCTCTTATGTCTCTTTTATTTCTAATTTTTTTTTTAAACCAGACCTAGTTGCTCTGCTTGTTTTTCCCTTTTGCAATGTGTGTGATATCGTGTTTATGTGGCTAGGTTCTTATTTAGAAAAATAAAGTAAAATTTTCTAGCTTTTCATTTCAGATTCAGAGTTTAATCTTCTTTTAACAAATTTACCTTACATAGTAATATATGAAGATGCTAAGAAAAGATGTGTAATATCAGACTTGTTTTAAAAGCTTTATATTTCAGAGATTTAAAAGATTAGTATTATGTCTAATAATTTCTATTCCTAAAAAGCTATATGTAAAATTAAATTACAGAAGGAAATTCTATGTATCTAGTGACATTATATACTCTTATAAGTGCAGGGCAAAAGAAACATGAATATTTTTGAGAATTATATTTAAATTAGGGGATATAATTTGAGCCCTGGCTTTAAACCAGCTTGAATACCCAGAAGTTATCCATGTTCCCCTAGGAAGAAGAACTGAGTTAAACTCAGCCTTCCTGTGAGGAACAGAGCTAAAGTACCAGACCCCAACACTGAATATGATGATAGTAGTGTATTGCCAACAGACACGTTTAAGACATTATCTGAATGTAAAAATGTATGTAGGCCAAGCCCAAGCTTGGAGCCTGTTCCTGTTAGCTTTACTCAACCAATGAGTACAGGGTTATCAGAATCTGCTTTTCTTGTAATATTTCTCAAGTTTCTACAGAGTAAGATGGACATTGGCATTCCCTTTTCCAAATGGATGTGATCATCTAGGAGCTAGATGTTCAGTATTAACTGAAAGGGAGATCTAAAAGCCCTTCAATCCTAGGACTAGAACAGCAGAAGAAATAGAGTGATAGACAAGGACACATATTAGGGTGCTTCAAAAAGTTCACGGAAAGATTTGTATTATCTTTTCATTCTCGGGCCGGCCCGGTGGCGCACTGCTACAGTGCGCCACTTGGGAGCGTGGCGGCGCTCCCGCCGAGGGTTCGGATCCCACATACAGACCGGTTCCCGCTCACTGGCTGAGCGAGGTGCAGGCGTAACACCGAGGGTTGCGGTCCCGTTGCCGGTCCCGGTCCGGTACGGTACGGGTACGACACTGAGGGTTGCGATCCGTTGCCGGACACACACACAAAAATAATAATAATAATAATATATTTTCATTCTCTTTTTCCATGAACTTTTTGAAGTACTCTTGTTCTTTTCTACTATACATTTTGCCAGCAAAAGACACCAGCATGTACACACAGAAGAGTTAAGGCCCTCTTCAGGGGGCTGTATTATTCACTGTATAGCACTCTATTTTTTGTCACGTCAGGAATTAGAAGCAGCGACCCAATGAGTATTACATGCAAAGGAACTTTTACTGCAGAGGCAAAAGAAATAAATCACTGATTTATTTAAATTGCCACTGATCACTACCTCACTGATTTTATAAAATTAAAAATTTGCATGTTATTTGCTTAGAAGGAAGGATATCTGTAGTGATTACATATTGTTTCTTGAAATACAGTTGTTGAAAACTGAAGAAATAACTTAAACTAAGGCTCTTCAAGGCTTTTTTAAAAAACATGTTTACACATAGCTCAAAATTTTATGTGTAACAGCAATTTTTTTTTTAGACTAATGGAAAACTGTTGAAAAAAATGTTGGGGAGAATATAAAACTTGGTATAATTTACTGTAGAGAAAAATCACAAAATGGAAAACATATTTAAACTTCTCTTTCACGGATACATTATTTCAGATTTGAAATTCTAGAAGTCTGATCTCAGTGTTGGACTCCTGTTCTCAGACATGAGCCTAACGTAGTCATAATCTTCAGAGTGGCAGTACTTGATATTTATGGCAAAGAGCCTTTTCATAGAATATTACAAAAACTCTTCATAGTATGTGTTTAATAGACCAGTTTGGTTTGGCATCAGCTCGACATAAACTTTTGGTTATCCAAAGCCCTTAATTGCTTTGAAGTAAAAGCCCAGTACTGCTCTTTTTTATTAAAATCATGTTTTTTCCTGTTGTTGTGGTCTATTTTGGAAGACTGAGTTGTGATTTTTGCATATGTTCTACATAATGCCTCATTAGCAAAAAATCTTGTATCATTTACAAGTAGCCTGAATGTCTGTGTTGTTTTGAACAAAAATCCACATTAAAATTTAAACAATATAAAAATGTACATTTTCTGCTTATTAAAAAGGCCGTCTTAAATTGAATGCAAAGCAGTAACCAGTGAACACATGTACGCGAACATTAAAATCAGAATAATTTTACTTTTTATTGACTTTTTCAACTCCAAAAATATTTATACTCTTACCAAATGTGTAAGTAGTTTGTACTAAGTGTTTTTTTAACTAAATGTTTTGACGTTTACCTTCTTAATTAAAAACCACGTAAGAGCTGTAATGTCCCAATGGAGGAAATTTAACCCATAAATATTTCAGACACTCTGACTTGCCCTCTTCCCTTTGGCAGACAGTGGTTTGTCATATCTTACAACAGAGAGGCCTTTTGCAGCCATGTGTTATAAGAAACAACTTGGCTTTAGGGGCTCACTCTTTCCCCTCAGCACAGATGCAGGATTTCATGCCTAGCACTCTCATGTTCTTCCCCAACTATTCATTTTGAAAAATTGCAGACCTACAGTAAAGTGGAAAGAATAGTAGGGTAAATACTCCCATACCTTTCACCCCTTAGCATATTTGTGAATGGTACAACAAGCCTGTTTCTGCATTCTGCATATTTGTGCACAAGCCCTTCTTTCTCCCTCTGTTCTCTCCTGTCTTGTCCTGTCCTCTGCCTCTCTTCTCCCTCTCTCCCTCCCTCCCTCCCTCTCTCCCTCCTCACCCCCCACCATCTCTCACTTTCTTCCTCCTTCCTTCTCCCATTTGAGAGTACAGTACAGCCATCATATTCAGGACATTTAACAATGAATGATAACAGTAGCATCACCTAATACACAGTCTATATCCAGATTTCCCCAATTGTCCCAATAATGTCTTTTATAGCTGAGGGGTTTTTTTAATACCTGGTTTGGTTTGGTTTGGTTTGGTTTGATCTGATCTAGGCTCCAATCAAGGATCATGTATTAAATTTAGTTGTCATGTCTTTAAGGTTTCCTTTGTTCTAGAGTGGTTCCCCCACTTTTCCAGCCTACTGACAGTTTTTTGCAGAATGCCCCTCAATTTGGATTTGCCTATTTGTACAGCCCCTTAGTTCAGAGGGCACATCTGGTTCTCTGACAGAAGGTTAACTGAGACCAGGGATGGCCATACATACATTGTTACTCAGGGAGGTGATCTGTCATTTTTTAAAAATATATTCACCAAGTTCTTATTCTGGTTTTGAATAGCCTAGAATTTGCCCAATGAAAATTGTTGCGCTCAAATGCCATTCTAATTTTTTTATACCTGTGTTTTTTATTATTAATATTATCTAGGGTTTTTCTGTAATAGCTTGACATATTTGCCCAGCACTTTATATAAAACACAGAAAATGTCACAATTAATAATAACTAATTAATAATGTCACAATTAATAATAACTTTCCCTTACATGATAGTAGAGGGAAAGTTAAAACTTAGGACGTCTTAGAGGAAGAAAGCAATTTAGAAAAGTGGAAAGAATTTAGCTCTTAGAACTTGATTTGAGTGTTGGCTCCATCACTTAAGGACTGGCCAAATTATTTCTCTGAGCCTCAGTTAGCTACATGAACTGTAAAATGAATAGATTGAAATGAGTAAATGGTTCCCTACGTTTTAAACAACAGTTATATTCTCCCTAGGGACCTTGCGTTTATGAGAGATTTTGCCTACTAAATCAGCTGTATTTATTAGTTTAATCAATTTTTAAATTTTGTATTCATCAGAAACTGATACCATGCCAATCATTCATTTTGGTAATTGTGAAATTACCTATGTTATAGCACTGGATTGCCATAATTCATAAAAAAATTAAAATAATACAAAACCTCTAGCTCACTTCTGAAACTTAATTCCCAGTAAATCTACATTTTTCATTGGGATTTTTTAAATATTGACTCTACGCCCCAAATTCCCATTCCTATTACTGTAAATCTCTAGTTGGAATCCATTCAACTTGATCCTAAGAATGATCCATTTAAGAAGATGAGCCAGGAATTGGGTTCTTCCTGTCCACATCCAGTCTTTGGGACTGCCTCTCCACTTTGATAAGAGTGTGGTTATGTGCATGTAAAGACCCTAACAGAACTGTCCCATCCATTCCTGTGGGTGATGAGAGTAAGAAAATACTGAGATCTGATTTATAGTTTGACCCGACATCACAGGAAAGTTGTGATCCAGAGGCAAATAAACATATGCAGACAAATTTTTCCCTTTATGTAATCTTAAATCAGGGAACAGTGTTTTCACTTGTGAACTCTAGTAGCAGTTTTGAGCAAAACCATTCTTTCAAGTAGACTTTCCTCAGCTATTTTAGTGAAGTTTATTCCGTTGAATTTGCTGGGAGCCTTCTGTAGTCCTGTTCAAAAGTGGTACCCTTGCTAGTAATTGCTACCTATATATCCCTAATAAGAGCTATGAATGACCTACATTTCTTTCAACAATACACTTACAGAATGTCTGCCACTGTTTAAACTTTTAAAATCTAGAGTTTTATTTTTAACCCTAAGATTTGTTTTCAACCTTAACTCCAAATTTAGTCAGCCTAAAACTACTACTCAAAAACAGCCTTTTCATTTTGTATCATATTCGACCTAACTACTTCTCAGAATCTCATAGCCTCGTTTCTGTGTTCTAAAGCCTTTTCTTATAAGTGGTGTGAAAATTATATCATAATATTTTATTCTCAAAAAATCAAGAGGCTTTTTTTTTTTAGCTTTCATAATCCTTACTGTAGCAAAGAATGCAATGTTGGCAGAGGGTGGGAGAGGAGAGTTGAGGGCTGGGGAAATGAAGTATATGAAACTTTGACTGGAGTAAAGGTTTTTGCTTCTTAAGCTTTCATTTTAGACTATGCATTACACAACTCCACTGAAAGTTTTTCCTTCTCCAGTGTATCTGAGGTTTTAAGTTTCTGGATTTATTATGGCACCCAGTAGCAAAGCTGGAGTCAAGTGTTTTCAAGGCTTCCATTAGAAATTCCTTTTTCAGAGTTTATTGCTTGACTGTTTCAAATTATATGAGAGAAACTTGGCACACAGGTTGTTAAGCTGGATTACTTTTTTCAACATAAAATCTAATTTATTTCAGTTTGTTTTTAATCTAGAGACAGGCTAACAACTGTTCTCAGAGTTTTAGAAGATTTGATCATAATTCTAAATCATACGTCAGTAAAACAAAAAAAGAAAAAGAAAGAAAAGAAACTGCATTTCCAACTTAATCATTCATGGTTTTTTCAAAATCCTTGTTTAAAATTTGGGAAATTTATTTTTGCAGAGTACTTAATTAGTGTGCTTGATATCTGTTTGCACATTATTTCACCATGTGTAATGCAGCATGTATGACTTGGTATACAAAGGTCACAGTTCATCTGAATGTTTTTACCATGCATTGTTCTTTATTTTAGAATGTCGTTATCCTGAATATTTGGTGTTCCTATCATATAGTGTGTGGAAGAGGGTAGAAAAATATTATGTGGAAGTCACTTAAAATATTGCTCATAAAGTTAGCCCTATGTCTGTTCTTCAAAGAAGACCAACCTGAAACCTTGCTTGACATGCATAGAGGTCTAGGACTGGCCACTTAGCAATGACTCTAGCTCCTTCTTGCCTCCAACATCCTTCTCACTCTCATCATCTTTTTGTGACATCTCCTTTCCTCTTTGTCTCTTACTTCCACCCTTATTCTCTTACCATATTTCATCTATATAAAAATGCTGATTGTCAAGCGTGAGGTGATTTTCATTGTACACCTTCTTAAAGGTCAGACCACACTCATCACATTGCTGATTTTAACTTTCATATACTTTATATCACTGACCCAACACTTTGAGCCTAACAGGTTATCCTTTTCTTCTCATTGTTACCCTCAAAAAATATGCAGTTGTAATAATAACTATTATGTATAAAGCCCCGAACACTGATACTTAAAAATAATTGTTGAAGACTTGTAGGTTTTGCATTGTCCCAGAATAGGTGTGCTATATAACAAACTGACTTTTTATTTAAAGTACCACATTATTATTGCTGTTTTCTAAATACTACTTATGTTGTATTTATGCCCACTTGTTGGGCATTATTAGTATAAAATGCTCTATCACTTTTCTTGGCAATATTTTGAAAAGTTTAAACTCCAAGGAGTTTAGGGAAATGGTCAAGAAAGCATTCACTAACTAAACTGAAAGTTTTTGAAATATGCTACTGTCCTTTGCCTTACAAAGAAAGTTCAGAATGAAAGCCTGTTATTTCTATGACCCTATATGGCTGAATGGATTATTGAGATTTAATTGCCTGCTACTATCATTAAGTGATGGGTATTATTCAACTATATCTCAATCTTCTTGAAAATATTAAAATATTTTGAAACAAAAATAAAATATTAGAGATAAAAATATAAGAAAGATTTTAAATTATTTGAATCACGTTCTGTCCTTACATGTTCAATATATGTCACTCACTGTTGAGCGGTCAAACCAAGTAATTCTGGGGAAAATAGGTAAATTATATTTTGGCTTCTAAATATGGAAGTAAAGTGTGAATATTTTCTTTAAACTTTATTTAAAATATATTTTTCTTTTTATATGATATATAGAGAGAAAGTTTTTGTTTTTGTTTTTTTAGTGAGTAGAATTAATAATGAGGGGAATAATAGTGAGTGTACTGTTGAATATTTGCTCTGAACTACTAGATAACATGTTTTAGACATATAATCATTTTAACATTGTGTTAAGACTGTATCCTGGGCAAGATCCAGGTTCTTGGACTTGTTTATCTTCTGTGTGAGGACAACTAACTGTCCAATGCCAAAATACAATGAACTTTCAAATATCAAAGAGGAAAATTAAGTATTTCAAGTCCTCAGCTGGTTTACAGATGTGTGAGCTTTGTAGTCCATTTTCTGGTTCCAGTAGGGCATTGTGACAATTTTTCCAATATGTGTACACTAGATAAGCTTTGGAAGTAAAATCATTTACTTTACTGAAATAATATTCTGAAATTAAAATTTTTGCCTTTATTTTTCTTTAAAAAATGAAGTCTAAAATCAAGCTTTATAATTTAAAAAATATTTTTGAATGTAAAACATATTAAATTAAGGAACCTTTTTCTGTCAGGAAGATAAATGCCTTTTGGAAACAGGTATTCATTTAGATCTGTGATTAACCTTTAACAAGATCTTCCTGTTAAATTCTACATTTGCTTTAATCTCAGTAGGAAAAATACAAAATAGTATTGCAGCATATAAGGTTTCTATATACCCTGTGGACATCAAATGATCTCTTACAGCTAAAAGCACATCTGCAACATATTTAGATGCCAGCTTTGGGCATTTATTAGTATAAAATGCTAAGTCACTTTTTTTGGAAATATTTTGAAAAGTTTAAACTCCAAGAGGAAACTCCAATAAATGGTAATCTTATGATACCATTTGCTTCGAGTGAGTGATAGGAAAATGAATGACTATATTGCGTATTTTTCATTTAGGGGAAAATAGCATGATAGTTCTCCTTAAAATAAGTGTAGATTTTGGTGGTGGAACCATTGCTGTGCTAAAAACTAATGTGTTTTCATGCCATCTTTCAGCACACTATAAAATGATTTTAAATCCACATTATCAGTCATTTTGGAGGTGACATAGTAATCAAGTTTGGGGGCTTCCTTCAAACTCTGAGAGTCTGTGTGTTTATAAAAGTTTGAGAAGCATTATTGGTTGGTTTAAAATAATCTGTCCTACATTCATAATAATCTAAAAATCTCAGTGACTGATGTGCAAGTGTGTAAATATTTTCTAGGTAATATTAATTGAAAAACTGTGACTACACTATAGATTCTTTCTATTTTCACTTGAATTTTTGACTTTTGTCTCTGCTTCTTTTAAACACAACTTTGAAGGTCAAATATTCGGGACAATGTAGAAATGATTAAGCTTCATAAACAACTAGTGGAGAAAAGCAATGCTCTTTCAGTAATGGAAGGAAAATTTATTCAGCTTCAAGAGGTATTGTGTTAATTTATTTTATTATGATGATACATAGATACAAAGAATTCAAAAATAGTGTTCAAGTTGTATATTTTTATTAAGTAAAATAGTCATAACACTAAAAAGTAATTCTTAACGATTGCTTTTTTATTCTTAAATGTGTATAATTTCTCTTCATATATTGTTTGTTCTTTATAACTTAATTACTGAAGAAATAATTGACTGCTTGGACTTTTTATAAATATCTGTGTCATCTTAAAATACTAAACAATTTTTTCATGAATCATCTTATGCCAAGATTTATGTCATTTTAAAATTCCTTTGTCTGAATTCATTGTGGGCACATAATGTTTCACATGAGCCCATAGGTTTTGCTGTATTTGCATATATCTTCAATTCTAAGCATTTATAAAATGTCAAAGGTAGACCAAAGTTAGGAATAGGTCAGAGTCATGTTCTGTTAAATCTTTCTATCATGTGGATTTTCTTTTTTTTGATCACTGCCATTATCAGAAAATATTTGAGTACCCGTAATGTCAACTGCCAGTGTACTTATTTTAAACTTTAACAATTCAGGTTGACAATACCTGGGATTCTTCATCCCCGTATTTTAACAAGGACTGTGTCCCCATAGGAATGGGCCATCAGAGGGCTCCTATTTATTGGCAATGCATAATTAACATAGGTTCTGGAATTAATGAACTCCAAAACATTCCAGATGAGCAGAATTTATATTAAGCAGTACTTTCTTTGATGTACTGAGACAAGGAAAGCAGTAAATTGATGCATAGCATAGGGTCATCTGAAGACTAAATTCACTATTGAATTATATAGTTAAATATTTTCAACCATACTCTGGGTAGTATTTTCATCCTGCAGGAACCTCTTTAAATGCAAAGTAATAACTACCTTCCATAGTTATGTGAGAGTTTGTAAAAGAGAAGAAACTGATTAGAGTGGGAATGATGTTATTATCTGCAGATAAATAGAAAAGGGAAATTAAAATTACATGTAGTTGAAAGCTGTTTCTAAAATGAGGAATTAAGAAAGGAATTGAAAAATGATTTTAGATTCTCTTATCACTGTAACTATTTTGATTTCCATTTAACAGCGACCCCAAGTATTTGTTTAAATACCAACGATTACAAGTATCTACTATGGTAGTTTCCTCTTTCGAGAATTGACAAAGGGTAAAGATTTGAGAGGTTAACGCTAATAGCCTGAAAGAAGTGGGAAGCCCAGATGAATTTGGCTATAGAAGGTGTTCTGTAATAATACGAAATTAATGAAAATTGACCTGAAGTAGCTCAATAGCCATGTTTTTTTAAATGAGTGAAGAAAATCTTCAGTAGCACTAAAGTGACTCTAATTAGCAGGTGAGGCATTACGTGTTATGGTCATATGGTCTCTATGTAAAGACTTTAATGTAGTAACCTTTTTTGTTTATAAAAGACATATGTGACATCGAAGTATATAAAATTGAATTTAAAGCATGTTTATAAATAGACCATTTTTATTTAAATTAAGGGTTTATAACTATTTTACTGGACTAAAAATTTTAACTTTAATATAATTAAAAGCTAACCATCCAAGGCGGTTTATATAGTGTGGTGGCAAATCCTTTCAGTTCGAATATCTGTGGTCAGCATTTTTGACCCATGCTGCAGCATTTTTAGACAGTATGCCCAACCACTGTAACCACAGCAAAAAAAAAAAAAAATTAATTGCCAAACTGATTTACTTACTGGTCACTATCAACAAGTCAAAAACTAGGAGGAAATAAAATAAGGGACAAAAACACTTTGCATTATGGGACTCTGTGCGAAGATAACCCTATATTTTCTTCCTCATCTCACATTTAGGTTAGAGTGTCTCCTGTGGATAAGTAGCACATCTGCATCGTTTCTGATGTGAAGAACAAGCTGTAAAATGTGCATTTCGGGAGTAAATTCATTTATTGAATTGTAAGCATTTATTTGGAGCATAATCTAAAAAATAATGTTTAAAGATTTTATTTTTGGTTTTTAGAAGCAAAAAGCTCTTAGGATCAGCCACGATGCCTTGATGGCAAATGGAGATGAGCTAAATAGGCAACTTAAAGAGCAGCGTTTAAAATGCTGCAGTCTTGAGAAACAATTGCATTCCATGAGATTTTCTGAAAGAAGAATAGAAGAGGTAAGCTCCCAAAGAGTTTAGCCATCTGTTGCTTTAAAACTTCTCTGTAACTCCTCTGAAAAAGTAAAATAGAGACATTTCAAATATTGTGTTTATTTTAAAATTCTAAGCTACATATATGGTGTTTTGAGCACAGTAAAATACAGTAGTTAATATAACCTACGAATGGCTAACCATTGCTTAACAATACTTGCAAGTGTGGTGTGATCCACTGTTTACCTAAAGGATTAAAGATCTTTGAGTAAAAAGAAAATATAACATTTGAAACTGCTACCAAATTACCTATGGAACTTAACTTTCTCAATTATAAGAGCTCACTAGGCATTTGAGATACCAAAACAAAATTAAAGGAACATATCAATTCCTGACGATATGGATGTTCTACAATATCAGCAATTTTGTGAAATTATCTAATTTTTTTTCTAGGAAGTTGTTTGAAAATTCATCTTCCTATTATTGTTGCTACTCATGCCTCCCAACTAGCACAATCTTTTTCTGTAGTTTGTTAAATTTGTTTCTGAGGAGAATGAAAGTGAAATAAGATGCTCATATTCTGTTCTGATCTTGGGAGAACCTTTTACTGTCTCTTACTAGCATCAAAAGAGAATTTTGAAGATGGAGATGAATTTTAAGAGTACTCTGATCCATTGGAAAAAATTTTGACTACAAAATATACTTATGAATAAAACTTAAATACTAGAGTGTAGAAATCTACCTTTTAGTCATACAGATGTAATCATTAGTCCATTTATTTCTGAAAATATTATTCATTGGGATAAAACAAGGTATATAATTTTATTTATTCATTTATTCATACAATATGCTAGTGGCTGTTTGTAAATTCCAGGTAACGTGAGCGATTGTATCTTCAGAGTAGAGACTGACACAATTTGTTTCAACCATGAACCTAAACATAAGTTAATTCGTTTATTCTTTTTACAGGCAAATTGGAAATTAATACAAATTGAATATAATGATGGAATTCATCCTGGTGGAAAGTAAAAAATATTATGTTTCCCAGGAATTAACAGCAAGCTCTTAACACATTCTTTATTGAGTTCTGGCACATGTAGCAGTGCATATGTTTCTACCAAATTAAAACAAGAATATTAATTTCATGTTTATTTAACAACTTTGGAAAAATCAATGCTGAATTAAATGCAGACAGTGTTAGTGGTCTAGTTAGCAGCTACAATTTAGAAATCAAGACTGAAACATGTTAGCCTCCACTCATTTTTTTTTTTAACCTCCATGTAGTTTTATACAATAATCACTTAATGTGTAATTTTCTTCTTATTTTAGCTACAGGATAGAATTAATGACTTAGAAAAGGAACGGGAACTTTTAAAGGAAAACTATGAAAAACTTTATAACAGGTAAATCATTATTCTATGTGTACTTTCATTCTCTTGTTTAAGCTCTTTTATATCAAAGCATTTGTTGTCAGATCTAATATTGATTAAAGAATCAGCAATAAGTGATAGCAAGAAATATGCATACTATAAAAGAAAATAAACTTCGTTTAGGTAGTGATAACATGTTTTTTAACCTGAGCAGTAGTGTATCACTACTAAGAAAAGCATATCACTTGATTGCCAGTAGCAATTTCCATCATTTATTGAACACAAGCTATAGGCTAGCAGACACTGTACTCAATACTCTACATTCATTGTTATAAATTCTTCACAACACCTTGAAATGTGGATATTGTAAATGCACATATTGCATACAAAGAAGATAAAACAGAATTAAATAACTTTAGGAAGTATGAAGTAATAGAGCTTGTATTTGAACCCTCCTGTTCAAGAACTTATATTGAGCCCCTCTCTTATGGGCTCCCCAGAATACTAGTTAAGACTGATTCTGTTAGGGGAAAGCAAAGGTATTCACTATAATTGTCTCTGTTCCTTAATAAAGAGAAACACAGCAGCTTTATCTCACAATGAATTTTAAAGGGCTGCTTCAATTTTGTTTCTTAATCTGTTTTGTAATTACAGTATTTTAGAAATTAACCCCTTCTGGTAATGTTAGAAACAAAATTCTACTCCACAGCTAAGTTTGGTTAAATGATACAGATCTGTGTGTGTGTGTGATTTTTTTAAGTGTTTTCAGTGTTTGACACTGATAAATGATAAATACAGGTTTACACAAAACCAAATTTAATATATAGTTAAATATATATGTTATAGCCAATATTCAGTAGTTGCTTCTATTGATCATATCATTGAAAACTCAGAAAATAGCCATTTGAGCTATAAATACATCTAAATTTTTAACTGTATGTTTTATGTTTTGCAAATTAAATTTACACTTTATAAATTAAACAAATCATAACTAAAGAGTGTGGGGATAGGCTTTTATTTTGGTTTACTTAGAGGTTACCTAAATTAATGTCAGCCATTATTCCAATGGTTTGTATCATCCATGTTGTTTACCTACTAGTGTGGACTGTCTTTGTACAGTGGCTCATTATATTAAGGGCTACCAATGGCAGGTTCAGACACCAGTTAAAATAATATTCATGACCCCTCAGTAAAGGTGGACTGGCTAAAAATCCTTACGTGGAATTTGCCTTGTACGTCCTTCCAGATCATTTAGCTCCAGTGTTTTTATTTTGGTCCCTTTCTCATCAGCCCAGATTAATTTTACCTAAAGTATTTATTATGTCCCAGTTTTATATTTCCATCTCCATAGACTAATACATGGGTTTATATTGACATATATCTAAGTATTTAGAAATTATGTGTTTGAAAATTTAAATGTCAGTATACAGATTGTACAACACCATATTATGGCAGGGAAGATGATGTTATCCCCATATTTTATAAATGAGGGAATTGAGACTCTGGGAAAATTAAGAGACTTGTGCAGTCACACGGCACTGCTGAGACTCCAGTATAGGACTAAAATCCAAATCTTTTGACTTCAAAACTTGAATTTTTCTCCCTATGCTTCACTATCTCTCTGATTTTAATTGCATTGGAAAATTATATATGTGAAAGGGAAACATTCATGGAATAGTGGAACTGTCATCATTCAGAAATTTTTACTGATTTATATTTATCTTCAACATCTTGCATTTTCAAATAATTTAACATGGTCTAAGTACAAAAAAATAAGTGCCGTTTGGCAATTCTACTTCTCAATTTGAGAACTTGCTGAATATACTTTCTTGGAATAAAAAAAAAATCAAACTTAGCTGGGAATAATGCATAAATGGAGTTTTGAGAAATACATGTTTTTCTCATATTTACTTTATCAGCATAAAACTTTATCTTTCCATATTAGAAGATGATCCAATAGTATAAATCTGACTTTAAAGGTTTTTTAAGAATATTTTGTGCTTGAACTACATTTTTTCCTGTCACTAAAGACAGACTTCATTATGCCACTTATGCTTGAATTTTATGTGAGGTATATAGAAGTAAATGTGTGTAATGAGTGTCTAAACATTTAATGTCAAAAGAAAATTAATGTCACTTAAGCACAAAAACCCAGCAAGCACACATAATAGTAAACAGAACTACAAAATACTCCAATACAGTTATTTAAATATATTTTTTCAGAAGTGTAGTTGGAGAAACTTTACAAAATCGTCATCATCGTCCCTAAGATTCTTTACAGCTCTTTTGTTTCATGGCACTGCTGTTCATTGTTGCCAACAACTAATGTTCATCAAAAACTACATATACTCCCTGTTTGGTTAGTCATAATGATACATGTCTTAAAAAGGAGAGCATTTGTTTGTTATTCAAAATTGGCTACATTTCAGGGGAAAAATATTGCTTGCAGATTGCATTCTCATCTTCCTTTTTCAAATAAAATTTTGAATGTGTTTATTACTTGACATGTGACATATTAGGGAATCATCTGGTAAAATAAAATCCTCATGTTAGTATTTGGTTAAGCCTTTTTTAATATGCTAAAGCATTTTTGATACAATGCCAAGAAATAAGTATAACTTTAAGAAATGTTCAACTTAAAAGTTCAAAATAATTTTTTTATAATTAAATATTTCTATTTGGTCAGAGAGAAATTATACTATAGTAAAAGCTGTGTTCCATTTTCGTTTGGGGGCCATGTAACTGATGAATGCAGTGGTACTTCATTCAACTATAATGTATACAAATAACCTGGAAACCTTATTAAAATGTAGGTTTCACTGCCCCTTCAGAGCCTCCCCACGTATTCACTCCCCTCTCCCACCGCCACCGTCTTATTCGGGTTCAGTCAATGGAGGCTGGGCTCAGAGAATCTGTTAAAGGTGATTTTAAGATATTAACTCCTTGAGAGACACTAATCTAATGCCTATTTTTTCAATGTTTGTTTTTGTTTTTTGAAAATATTAACCCTTTTAAGCATTGGGTGGATCAAATGTTTGCAACATGATAGTTATCTGACATACAAAATTTAAAAGAGTTTTGGTGACCACCCATAGACTCTTGGTGCTCCGTTTCTGTAAAATGAGCTCTTGTCTCCTGCAATCTTCTAAGAATCTTGAAAGTTCATGTGATCAAATATGAGCATTTTGTGCTTCCCAGAAATCAAACTCTTAAGTACATTTTCCTCCAATAAATGAAATATCTTGATGTATATATGTATTTAATTTTCATTAGGCCCTAACTAAAGTACCTTTGGATTTCTTTATTAATGGTTTAGAGTTTATTCTTTTCTTTCTCAAGTTAGGATGCCCTTGAACATTGGACTAAATGGAATTAATTGTGTCAGAAATAAAAAGACCTTAGGGTGGAGATGAATTCTTTGGCTTTTATTTCTATCCTATCATGTTTTTGATCAAGGGTGTGTATTTACACTATGCAGACCCATGGCTGCCAGTGGACATGCCAGTGACCACAGGCACCAATGGACATTTCACTGCAAACTGACATTTTATGATCCCCCCTCAGTTGTCACTATAGGCAATATACAAAACCATTTTCATGAATAAAAGGTTCTCAAAGACTGTTTTCATATGCAGATTTAATCATGTACACAGCCCTTTCAAAGAAAATGGAGCCAGATGTGGTTCACCATTTATAGTTACACAGATGGCTCCAAGCACAGAGGAATACAGTAAATTCAAAAGGAATTCCTCATGAAACTCCAGTGGAATGTTATCCTAAATTTAGAGGAAAGATAGCAGTAGACTAAATTCAGATTGACTTATGCTGATTTACACTAGTATTTTGTGGGTTTGGAAAAACCAGGCTGCTAAATTGTTCTTAATTTAAACACGTACAGCTTCTGATGTTTCTGCCAGATTAGCTGTTGGTGATCTTTTTGCTGGTACTAATGCTATTGGAACACTACTGTTTCTAATTTTTGGCATCTGATATAATGTATAGTTGTGCCTATTTCATCATGCTAATTTTTTTTCCAGGTGGTATGTTTTGAATAATACAAGACACACACATACACACACACATATATACCTATATGTACCCACATTCATGCATATATGTATGTGTGTTTGGTATATATAATTTGGGCAGACACAGAAATTATATTTGTTCTTTATTAAAAAATGAGCATATATAGGGCCGAGCCCGTGGTGCACTCGGGAGAGTGCGGCGCTGGGAGCGCAGCGTCGCTCCTGCCACGGGTTCAGATGCTATATAGGGATGGCCAGTGCGCTCACTGGCTGAGCGCGGTGCGGCCAGTCTCAAAAAGGACAAAAAAAAAAAATGAACATTAAGGAAATATTATTTAGCTTAGTATTTAAAATACATATTTTATTTGAATTTCATTTAAATTTAGGTTAATTGTACCTTTGATAAAACTAAACCTAAAATATTGGTATATCAGATCAGTGTACTTTTTAAGGTTCCATATGTGAAATGAGAACATTGATAGAAGAAACAGATGTCATATTTAGAGGAGCTTCCAGATTTCTGTTTATTTTCAAGGTCATGTTCTTTTAAATGCAATAAAAATATTCAAAATGTGAAATGAATACACAATTTTGTCCTTTTGAAAGCTGTGCCTCCCAGAAAAGTATCTTTTTTGGAATAAAACCTCAAGACTAGTTGGGAGCAACATTAAGGGCAATTTTCAATAATAAGTTTCTTTTCCATTTACTTCGTTATCAGTATAAAACCAGGTTTTATAAATTCTTGTTTCATTTACTAGGCTTAAAATAAGTAGAAGGGTCAAAGCTGCTGATGATTATTCAGTCACATCAAGCTTCACAGATAATGGTTTTCTGCTGAAATACAGATCAAGATCAGTTTTTCTAAAACCTGGCTATCACCTGGGGAGCTTTATACAAATATGAATTCCTGGGCCCTGGGAAATTCATTTTTAAATTTCCCTATGTGCCCTTAGTGCAGCAGGTCTAGCAAAGTGCATAGTCTAGCAGTTAGAAACCACTGGCATGAACAAATGTTTATTGTATACCTTTGGTGTACCACTTAGTTATTATTTTTTTTTTTTTGTCTTTTTTCGTGTCCGGCAACGGATCGCAACCCTCAGTGTCGCGCCCATACCGGACCGGGACCGGCAACGGGATCGCAACCTTCGGTGCTGCGCCCGCACCTCGCTCAGCCAGTGAGCGGGAACCGATCTGTATGTGGGATCCGAACCCTCGGCGGGAGCGCTGCCGCACTCCCAAGCGGCGCACTGTAGCAGTGCACCACCAGGCCGGCCCCCACTTAGTTATTTTTTAACTGCTTCTTTCCTCTGTTATGCTGGGTCTTGATCATTAGCAGATTTTAACCGTAATTTAAACTGCTACACTTTTATTGAGAAATAATGATTCTATCTTTGTCCTTATCAGGCACAGAGCATTGGTTTTCATCCTAATCATGTGTTACAAGTAAAATTGTTTTTTAGGACAAAAACTGTATTATCACTACTTCTTAATATCAGAATTATTGTCTTGTGGTTCGATGTACTATCATTTTGTGGCCAGTAGTTTGTGAATATGTTATTATCACAGACTCTTTAAAAGTTTCACAGAATTAAAGATCAGGTGGAAAGTCCATTTTCTCTGCATTAAGTGGATTTGTAAGCGGGAAAGAATAGTTTTGTACGATGTCAACTGCTGAGGTTTAGAATTGTGGATTCCTCTGGAGTATGTACAGTATCTGAATTCCTTTACTAGTCCCACAAAAGCTACACGCTGCCAACTTTTCTGACTTTAGAGCTCTAAATTAAGGCCAGTTCCTTTGCTCATCCCACAAACTCTTTCATGTTCCCTAACCGCAGCCTGAGAAAGGCGCCTTGGTTTCAACAGCAGCAGACCAGCATATGTTTACTTAATTCCTAAGACATGATGACAGTGGTCTCTGTGCCACTAAAAGCTTTTCTCTTTATTATTTTCGATTGAAGCAGATTTCCAAGCTTTCCTTGCATGTCATGTGTGTTTTGCAGTGCCTTCAGTGCTGCCCATGAAGAGCAATGGAAGTTAAAGGAACAGCAGCTGAAAGTACAGATTGCTCAGCTTGAGACTGCCTTAAAATCTGATCTAACAGACAAAAGTGAAATCCTTGACAGATTAAAAACTGAAAGAGGTACATGTAAAATAACTACTGACTTACTCATTTTAGACATCTGATGTTTATTCATTGAATCAATCAGTACTAATTGTGGTACCTACTGTTTACCAGCCACCTTGCTATGTATTGGGGACACAGCCTGTATTAACAGCCATGCACTTTCATGAATTTATTGACTAAAATTTCACTTACTCAGCCTACCATATATGGCAAAGGAATTATGTTTACTCAGAGTTGTCCTTATTCAGGTTGTCTTTAATTTGTTTAATTTTCCTAAATTCTCAGCCTTTCTTTATTTGAGTTAACAAGTGTTTATTGAGCACCAGTATGTGCTAGGCACTGTTCTGTGTACTGGGGATACAGCAATCAATAAACCAAAGGCCTCACCCTCATGAAAAATTAATAGGGAGAAACTGACAATAGTTTAATAAATATGCACTAGATCAGGTGGTGGCAAATGCAGTGGGAAAAAACAAAGCAGCGTAAGATGACAGAGGAGTGGCAGAAGTAGTTGCCTGTTGTTTTTGATAGGTTGAACAGAGAAGATCTCTCTGATAATGAGATTTTTAATTGTCCCTGCTAAAATAATAATTAGAAGTTTCATGTTATAAGTCACAGATCTCACCCTTCTTATCTCATAGAAGTAAAATAATTATAAAGAAGATGTCTGAAATACTGTATTACACACTCGTACATATACACACAAATGTACAATGAGTGAAGTGAATTATTTGTTTCAGGGGTTGTATCTGTTTGCTCATTCACTACATAAACCAAGTAATGTGATAATAAGGTTGCTCTTTCTGAATATTTGCAGTTCACTTGCAACAGACTCTAAAAAAATTTTTGTTTTTTAGTGCATTTTTTTTTTTTATGTTTTAATGTCTCTAAAATTGGGATCCATCTTACAAATGATAGCATTTTAAAATTGTGGTATCACATTTTTTTCATATTTTAACAAGTGTGAAATCAGAACACATCTTACAATCAGTGGAGTCTTAATTTCAATAAAACACACTAGTGTAATATTTATTCACCAAGTGATTACATTTGCTGATAGATTATAAATTTTTCTCTAGAATATTGTGAGTGTAATAACATGGTGATATGGGTCCTGACCTGGTGGTGGATATTTAAAAGCTTTTATATGAAAAAATACATAGTTCCTGATTTTAATGTGCAGTATCAAATACCTAACAGAGTGCTTTGTCTTAGTAGTTGCTCAATAAATTGTTACTCACTGAAAGGAGATGGAAATGCTCTATATACTCTCTTTTTTCCAAAAGTGGATAAATTGCTCATTGTTAAAGGAAAGGGAAATTTGGGCCGGCCCGGTGGTGCACTGCTACAGTGCGCCACTTGGGAACGCGGTGGCACTCCCGCCGAGGGTTCGGATCCCACATACAGACCGGTTCCCGCTCACTGGCTGAGCGAGGTGTGGGAGCAACACCGAGGGTTGTGATCCCATTGCCGGTCCCGGTCCGGTATGGGCGCGACACTGAAGGTTGCGATCCGTTGCCGGACACGAAAAAAGACAAAAAGGAAAAAAAAAAAGGAAAGGGAAATTAAATAAAGCTTTTTTATCTCTGTGCTTTCTGTATCTCTTTAGATACCAAGAATTCCAAAACTGATATCTTTTAGACATCTGTTCTGGTCTCTGTAAAGAAACTCTTCTTTTTTTTTTTTTTTTTTTTTTTTTTTTTTTTTTTTTGTCTTTTGTCTTTTTTCGTGTCCGGCAACGGATCGCAACCCTCAGTGTTGCCCCCGCACCGGACCGGGGACCGGCAATGGGATCACAACCCTCGGCGCTGCCCCCGCGCCTCACTCAGCCAGTGAGCGGGAACCGGTCTGTATGTGGGATCCGAACCCTCGGGCGGGAGCGCCGCCGCGCTTCCCAAGCGGCGCACTTATCCAGTGCGCCACCGGGCCAGCCCTAAAGAAACTCTTCTTAAGGGGGTACTATGTTAGAGTTTTTTTTAAACCTGCTTATTGTTGTTGAATTAATTCTGAGTAGTCTTATTAAGTATTGTGATTGCTAAGTTATTTTAATTCATCTATTTTATTCCTCATCTTATTTACTGGTTATTATATCTTTGGGGGATTTTTTTTGAATAATAAAAATAATTCATGTACACTGTGGGGGGGGGGGTCCAGTAACCAAAAAATTTTTAAAATCAGTAAATCCCACAACCCTCTAGATAATCATTGCTCGTATTTAACATGTATCCTCTCAGAGTTGTTTCTATATGTATAGATAAAGTTTTGTAATGTGCTTTTAAATTTACTATATTGAGAAATCATTCCTTAGGTTTAAATATAAATCTACATCATCATCATTTATAATGGCTGTTATAGTTTCAAGTGTGTGGATGCACCATAGATTATTTAACAGTCCTCTACTGATGAATATTTAAGTAGCTTTGTTTTTTTTAAGTATCATAAACAACATTTTTCTACACAAATCTTTACATATTTATCCAATTATTCTCTAAAGAAAAATTGCTAGAACTGAATCTTTATTTTTAATGCAAGTGTTATTTTCCAGTTATTTTTGTTGAATACCTCAAATTTACAAGTCTAAGGATTTATTTTTTTGTCTCTTTGTAAAAATGTTACAATAGGTTATAAGAAAAATATTATATCTTTTAGCCATCTTTACCAGGAGAATGATAAACAAAATATTGAAATTGTCTATTTAAGGTAATCTTTTAACATTTAGAACGTTCTTTATTATATTACAGATTTTGAAATTGTTTAATTTTACTTTGAAGTCTCTTCACACATTTACCTTTTCATGTATCAAGTGTTCTTTGCCAGAAGATGTTTCCCTGGTCTCTTGTAGTCATTCATCTAACTGGCAAATTATTTTTAGAGAATACTCACCTCTTTATTCAAGGTACAAATTAGTTTCAGATTGTGTGAATATGTGGGGGAAGGATATGTAAATGCAGTTTGCATTTGGTTAATGCTTAAATTAACTGCATGTGTTTAAGGGCTTGCTTTTGAAAGTTCCTTTCTATCTTTAGCTGAAATGCATAATTCAGCATAATGCATATGGTTATATTGATCACAGCTGAAGATATTAGCACAAAGGAGCTCTGAAAATTGTTTAGTTGAATTGTTCTCTGCACTTTGCTTATTAATGGTGTGCTGGAAGAACATAATTTTTAAAGAGTGAAATGTTATCTCATTTGAATAAAATGCTGTTTAGCTTAACTTGCTTTCTGTCAAATCATAAGGTAAGGAGGTTATTTTTCCTTTTGTACATCGTGCTTTGATTTTTCATATTATAATTCAGCAGGTCTATTTCCTCTTTGAACTATAGCGTTTCAGTACTTTTTAAAGAACCAGGAGTTATATCCCCAATAAACAGTTTGAGAAAGGAAAAATATAGTGGATAATTCTACATAAAATTCAGTAGGGAGAAGGTTATTGATACTCAGTAATGTCTTCTCCCACTAACTTATTTTCCCACTAATAATGCCCTACTTTTAAATATATCAGTGAATGGAGACATAGCTGTTGACAAAATTCAGTGAAGGATGGAACATTTAAATGAGTTTATTTGTACCTATTAGCATATCATTCTTAGAAACCCTACTCTGAAAAATTGAAAGCATACATAAACTAGAGCATAGAAATAATAATCAAAATACAGTATGTCTGGATTAAGATGAACAGTCATGTCCTTTACACTTTACTCATTCTTATAACCCCTCAAAGTTTTACTGGTCAGGAAATGAAATTATATTATCCTCAGTACCTTTGGTTTTACATTCTTCTGACTATACTTACCTTCTTTTTGTTACCTAATCATCCTATCCAGATGTCGTTTTAACATAATCAACATGAAAGAGTCCCATATTCTTATTCTACTTTGTAACCAAAAAAGTTTATTTCACAAGAATTCATTTGTATTATAAATCCCAATTTTTAATTTAAAAACAAGTATTTGTCTTTACCTTCAAATTTTCGAAGTATTTTTTACATTTAGAAATTTTTTTAGTTCACTAGATATAAGCAATTTATTCTCTAGGATAATCTTTTAATCTTCTATCAACATAAAAGGTGTCAATATCAATAAAAGTGTTTATATATTTGATATTAAAATGACTGTATATACCCTAGGGTCACTTTTTTTTTTAGATTGTCAGGAAATATGACATTAAAAACATCCAAATTTAGTCCGTTTCTTTTTTACTGTGTAATTTAACATTTTTACTTATATGTAGTGTTTATAGCTTGGGAACACAACGCCTTATAAAAGTCAGAAACATATTTTTGTATAAAATGCAGTCAGTATGCAAACACATTCATATAAAGAATTCCTGGCAAATGTATTGATTTTTTTTTCTTAAGAAAAGGAAACAAAAATGTACATTTTAAATTGAAGACTTAGGATAAATTTAAATCAATGACAGCAGAATGAAATTAGTGGGACACTTTGGATGACATGGTTTAGAGTTAATCCACAGGAAGGCAACAAAGGAGGACCCCTGACCACCATAATGAACTATAGTGATGAGTACACTTAAGAACATGAGCCTGAAGGCTGCAGTACATTTGTTTGCTATATTGTTTAAAAAAAAAAAAAAAGTTAAATATGTTTAATGCAGAGAATGAAAAATTAGTCTCTTTATGAATCTGCTGTCTCTGTACCTCTACTATACACTCCTGCTTGCTGGCCATGGCAAATGAGTGCCTAGGCAAGCACGTGTAACCCATATCCATTTCTTAACAATAACCCTAACTCCATGTCCTTCTAACTAATAATAGCATGAACTCAGTGAATAAGAAACACACATGAATTATTATTGACACTACCATACATTGGTTGAGAATCCATTCCTCCTATTGTAACAAATTTGTTGGAAGTAAGTGTGGTTGGTTAAATTATGGATTCAGAGTTTATCAGAGAAATTGTCTTGTTTTAATACATAGACATCATGCTAAGTTGGGAAGAGAAAATTTAAAGTCAACTAGAAAACTAAAAAGTCAAAAACTTTTTTTGCATGCCTCTCAGGACCCTTAATAAGTAAGTAAAAATCATAGATTTAGAAACATATTTTTTTAGGCATTTTAAATAGAATGTACCTTTGAAGTCCCAGAGGCCACAATTTCCTTATGTTAATACTATGAACTTAAGTCTTAAGTTTTTGGTAAGCGAGTGAATCATATGGTAGGCACATGATAGTATACATTTAGTCCTCATTTCCCTGCTGCCTCTGTCTAGGTGCTAGATCAATTTCCTCTCTGACCAGAACAACACTAGACCAAGCTTGATGTGTAACAGGAATTAAATTAATTTAAAATGTGTTCTTAGACCCAATTCTCACTTACCTTTTTAATTGCATTGACTTTATTTTTAAGACCAAAATGAGAAACTCACTCAAGAGAGTAGAGAACTACAGTTACAGTATCTGGAACAAAAGCAACAACTTGATGAACTAAAAAACCACATGAAGTTTTACAACCAGGTGAACTATTTTCTTATTTAGAAAATAAACTCAAAGTGTTTATGTAGATATTTTATGCATAGAGAAAACACTATAATACAAAGCAAAAGAATACAAATATATTACTTGGTTTATTAACTCATGGTATAAGGTAGCTTATGTTCTGTGAGGATATTCTGAATAGTTAGACTGTCTCTTATTCTTAGTTTGTTAATTGCATGGTATCAGGCAGCTTATGTTCTGTGAGGATAATCTGAATAGTTGGACTATCTCTTGTACTTTCCATTAATATCTTACTGTGAGCTTTTACTTAATCTATTGCAGGAGAGTGCTATAAATGCTGATGAACTGAGTGAAGCTCTCCTGCTTATAAAGGTAACTTTCTGAACTTCACCGTGAATTTCATGTATAAATATAACTCTTTCAGCATAATGATGACCCTTATCTGTAACCCTTATATTTGGAGAATGAATTATTTGTGTATCTTCTGAAAGTTAGTTCATCTTTTACATATATATCACACATCAGCTCTACTAAGACTCAGGAAAGTGGTCAGGTGACATTTAGTTACAACATATGCATATTTCATAATGACATCGAAATTACATTAAAATAGACCTAAAAATGCTTATTTAAAGCACTTTCTTTAACTGTAACAAACGTTCTACTTTTACCTGCCTCACTATAAAACTAATCAACAATTTTCTGCCCTAAGAGATCTTGGTATGCACCCTGTTATCTTAAGTAAAATATTGAATTATAAATGTAACAGGAAGATATTTTTAGTTCTAGGACATTCTGTTATTTACAAGAAGATACAAGAAAATACACTTCTTTTCTTTTAGGTCACAGTGTAAATTTTAATCAAGTGAAGAAATAGAAATAAATGTACATAATTCTTTTTTATGTTATGAAGTAATAAACTATTTTTTATTTCTTTGTAATTGTTCCAAATGTCTATTAAAAAATATATATCAAGACTGCTTTATTTCTATGGAAAAATAGAAATATATCTATTTTCAATTAATGATTATTTCTTGTATATCTATATTAATTCACAAAATCACATTTTAGAAATTCTTATTTTAGTAATAAAACATGTTTTTGTTTTAGGCTCAAAAAGAACAAAAAAATGGAGACCTTTCCTTTTTAGAGAAAGTAGACGGTAAAATTGATAAAGATCTAGAACGCTCCATGAGAGAACTGCAAGCAGCTCATGCAGAAACAGTGCAAGAACTTGAAAAGACAAGAAACATGCTAATTATGCAACATAAAATTAATAAAGATTATCAGGTAACGTAATACAATAAATTGAGAGGGTAGGTTATCTGTAATATTCTACTGATGATTTACTTTTCTAAGAAGTATCATGTGTTATCATCTGTTATAATCTGTTATCTATTATTATGTATTACCACATCCCTGGAATTTAGCCCAGGTACTTAGAATAAATAGATTAAAAACAAATAATTTTTTAAAAATCCCTGGTTTTAGGAAATGAGTAAATTTAGCCCAAGTACTTAGAATAAATAGATTAAAAACAAATAATTTTTTAAAAATCCCTGGTTTTAGGGAATGAGTAGTGGCAATGAACTCACCTTTATTAGCATTAGCACATTCTGCAGATGAATAAGTTATTCTGAAGTCTTGCCACATGTTGTGTTAGCTTTTAACAAAATGAAAACTCACCACCATAAAAAAGAATTTTACTTCTGATTTTCAATATCACCAACCATAATTTTCTAAACTGTAAGCTATTTGAGGTCAGGAAACCATGGTTTACAGCTCCTGGTATCCCCAGGATCTAGAAAATGCTTGAATCATAGTAGCTTTGAAAAATAAAAATGAAACTAATCATAAGTATTGAAATTTGATATCTGTCATTTTTTTAGATGGAGGTTGAAGCAGTGACCCATAAGATGGAAAATTTGCAACAAGATTATGAACTGAAAGTGGAACAGTATGTTCATCTTCTTGATATCAGGGCTGCCCGCATCCAGAAACTTGAAGGTACAGTGTGCACAATTTTTTGTACCAGAACTAGAGGAATGATTTTATAAAAGCTAAAAATGTCATCCAAATGTCTTTTTACTGTGTTTTTAGCAATTTCTAGCTGTAATAATAAGTTACCAGAAATGCTATTTTCGCTTGATTCTTTTCTAGACAAGAATTTTTAGTAATTCCTGACTGCTTTTTGAATTCAGTTTTGCCTGCAACATTTCAAAGTACTTCATAAAATACCACAGATTCAAATTTACCACTCCTTTTCTAATTTCTCTTCTAAGCAACCCGTGCAGCTGAGCCAAACAGGTCTGCTTGCTCCTTGTCAGATTCACTGTGCTCAGTCCCACCACTATGCCTCTGTTCTTGCTCTTCGCTCTGCCTAAACCTCCTTTCTACCTTGATTCCAAGATATATTGTTCCCTGCTTTGAAATCTAGTCAATGATCACCCATGCCAGGAAGCTGGCTCTTATCACTCCTAGATATCCCTCCACTTAAATTGTCCTTGCAGTGATTTTCAGATTTTAGCAAGTATGAAAATCACCTGAGGAATTTGTTTAAAATATGGCTTCCTGTATACTACCCCTAGGGATTCTGGGGCCCGTGATTCTACATGTTTAGAAATAACTACAAGCTATTCAGATGCAGGTGCAAGACTATACGTTGAAAAACCATAGCTCAGCACTTACCTACCCAGTTTTCCTTTCACGTAGCCAAAACATATATGTTTGGGGAGTATATAAGTGTTCTTCAGCTGTTGAAGTTTTGCATATTTTCTGTAACTACAATACAAGTTCTGCAATGATAAGTATTTGTCTCTCTTTCATGTCCACTGCCATATACTATGTAATTCAGTGGTCTATGCTAGCAGTAATTTTATACTCTTAAAAATTATTGAAGATCCCAAAGACCTTTTATGCTGAATTATACTTATTAATATTTATCATAATGGAAATTAAAAGTGAAAATTTTTAAAAATATTTTTAAATTTATGTTAAAGTAATAAATATATTACATGTTAACATATATTACATTTTAACATAAATTACAGTATTTATTTTTTTAAAGTTATATTTTACAAAATGAAAAAAAAACTGAGAAGAGTGGCATTGTTTTTAATTTCAGAAATTTTTTTTTTTTTTGAAATTTTTTAAATTAACATTTTGCAAATCTTTTTAGGGTCTGGCTTAATAGAAAAGAGCTTCTGCACTTAATCTGTTATAATATCACACATCATGTAATCTCTGAGAAATTCCATCATACACTTGTGAGAGAATAAAAAAAAAAAAGAGCAAATAACATCTTGGTATTATTATAAAAATAGTTTTGAGCTCACTGACCCCAAAAATGGTTTCAGGGACCCTCAGGTCTTCCCAGACCACACTTTGAAGACCTCCACTCTATGTAGAGGGCTCAACAAATATCTTTATCTGACCAAAAAGTGTTTTCCAAAAGTCAAGGAGCAGTGTGTACTTTTTATATCAAGTAGTACTCAATAAAAATTTGCTTAGTGGAATTTTCTTCATTAAAAGGGAGATCACAGAGTTTGGGATTTTCATTCCTTACAAATCTTTCTAAATCTTTACCAGTATATTTTATCTGTCCTCAAAATGCATTGATTTATTCCATAAACATGACCAAGCCCCCTAATGCATCCTAAGCAAAGTGCTAGGCAGTGAGAATACAAACAGAAAAAAATTAAGGAGTCACCTTTAGGGAACTCATAGGATGTGGACAAATAAATAGATGGTTATACTAGATGGTTAAATAGATGGTTTACTGCAAAGCATGGGAAGCTTAGAAAATGCAAAGGCTATCAAGGAAACATAGAGGAGAGAATGCCTATTTCTACCTCAAGATTCAGGACAGACTTCGCACAGTAAGGCATGGAGTCCTTAAAACTGACAGAATTTACCACTAAGTAAAAGTAATGGAAGGCATCTCAGGCAGTAAGTGAGGCAGATAAAAATGCCCTAAGTGTGAAGCATTGTAGTACAGTCGAGAAACTGCATTGTGGGTCCCTCTAATTGGATCTCAGGATTAGCAAAGGGGGGAGAGAATCTGGAGATAGGGCTGGAAAGAACAAAATCATGAAGGCCCTGTTTGCCACTCTGATGAGTTTGAACCTTATTAACCTAGAGAACCTCTAAGGGATCTTAAGGCAGGGAGTGATACACTCAGAATTGCATTTTGAAGATTATGCTACAGTTATCAAGAAAAATGGGTAAGATTTGAAGGAAGGAAGCAGTTTGAGTTTCATAATAATCTAAGTGATAAACTGGAAGTATAAATAAGGTGTAGTGGAGATGGAGAGGACAGGAACACATTTGATAAAGAGTTAGGAAATAGTGTTAAATAGCAGTGACCTATAGATGTAGGGAGAGTAAAAGAAAAAGAGGAGTCTAGGCTGACTCTCTGGTAGCTAGCTTGGGTGAGTGGATGAATGCTAACACCGTCACTGGAGATTTAAAGTATGGAAATAGCTAGAAGACAATGTGATTCATTCTATTTTGGACATGTTGAGTTTGATGTGCCTATGGTCTAGATAGATACAGGGTTATACAAAACATTACAAAAATGGATCTGTGTGTTGATTTTGTATCCTGCTACTGTGCTGAACTCTTTTATCACCTCTAAGAGTTTTTTAATAGATGATTTGGGCTGTTCGATATATAAGATCATGTCATCTGCAAACAGGGACAGTTTGACTTCATCCTTTCCAATCAGGATGCCCTTTATTTCCTTCTCATTTC